CACTAAACAGTATAAGATACAAGAACCAATAAATATAATATACCATTAGCTATTTTATCCTTGTTTTTTTATCTCTAGAAAGCTAGACCTATCCCCGTAGACACTCCTATTCTTTTCTACTTGAAAGGACAATTAAAGAAAAAATTAAAATATTCAATCTTCAGCGATAGAGAAGAGTACGTCTCAGGGCAGGCTCACTGGGCAATGGGGAGAGAACTGGGGATTTGGATAGGCTGGGGGTGCAGCTTTACCGAGCAGTATGATGACACAGAGCAGGATGGCAACCAGCGCCCCGGTGCTCAGGCCCGCAGCCAGGACCAAGGCCTGCGCGCTGCACGACTGCATGTTTCCTTGCTGGTCACAGGCGCACACGCGGATGGTGAGTGTGCCGGTGCTGCTCTGAATCGGATAATCGTTGTCAAAGATTAAAATGGGGAGTAGGTAGGTGCTCATTTTGTGGCGGCTGTACCCATCTTTTCGAGTCATGATGCCCGCTGTGTTATCTGCGGGGGAGAAAAAGGTGGAGAGAAAATAAGTCAGATCAGTTTTTAATTTTGCATCTTCAGGTCTCATAATGTTCTGTTTTCAAAAGCGCGCTGTACCTTTGTTATCAACAATGGTGAAGTTGGGATTGAGGGGAAACTCTGGCACTGGTTCAAAGAAGAATTTGTGGCCTCGGGGAGGATCATCTTTGTCCATGACGCTGACAGTCTGAATCAACTACAACAAAAGGCATTAAAATAAAGCCCAACAAAAAGCAACCCTTGTTATTACCAGGCATTTTTAAATAAGTGTTTGTGCTTTAAATATATATCACTGAAATTAAAGAAACAAAAAAATATACAATCTTCAGAAAATTATGCCAAGGGTTTTCTATGGTTCTAGCTCATGCAGCTGATTCAGTTAAGAATAAAAAAGTCTCCATCAAGTATTCGTTAACAGGGTATCTCTATGCACTGTTGTCTGATTCCTGGCCAGTGCAGTGCCCAACCTTAAGGAAAAATGTGATCCGTCCAACTCAATCCACTTTGAACATTTTTAGAAAGCACCAGTCTCTTTTGTTATTAATTGGTTACCAATCTGTTGTCTACACTACATAATGGTGGTTTCAAAGGCAGAGAACAGATGCATTAAAAAAAAAAAAGGTAAGT